GCTGAGGTTCTGCTGGGCACCCGCAGGCGCCTGTGTCCCAATAAACAAACCTCTTGCTTTTTGCAGCCAGTGTTTCGTGTGATTCTCCTTGGACAGGGAAACGGGGGTCTTTTCACTCCCAGAGGCACTTCCTAATCTGAATACAGGCAAAGAAAAAAATCTCCAGAGGAAAAATTTCCCTGGCCTTCCTAGGGCAGCAGGAGCCACAGCATGATCCAAATATGCTCAGAGCACCAAGGATGCTAATGAAGTGACTGTCTTCCTTTCATCTGGAAACAGTKCCTGTGAGTTAGGCCCTCTTAAGAAACAGATTAAACACTTTCACAACACTCATCCCATTTACAGTATAACTTCCTTAACAAACATAAACTGAATATGGAAAATAACATAAACAACAACAAGATGAAGGGCTGCAGTTTGGCCCAAACTCTGGAGGCCCCTGGGATAAAAGAGCCCAATGGCAAGGAGTCATCATATTGTACAAACTCACTCACCTGTGAACAGGATCCCACCCTCCACACCTCACAACATGGCCTGCTCCTGCTGCTCCTCTTGCTGCAAGCCTACCTGCTGCAGGACTACCTGCTGCAGGACCACCTGCTACAAGCCAACCTCTGTGGTCAGCTGCTGCAACACACCCTGCTGTGAGCCCAGCTGCTATGAGCCTTGCTGCTGCCCCAATTGCTGCCTCATTCCCTGCTGCCAACCCTGCTGTTGCCAGCCCTGTTGTACCCCAACTTGCTGTGAAACCACCTGCTGCAGGACCACCTGCTGCAAACCAGCCTGTGGGCCCAGCTGCTTTAAGCCTGGCTGCTGCCCCAGTTGCTGCATCATTCCCTGCTGCCAGCCCTGCTGCTGCCAACCCTGCTGCTCATGATCAGCTACCCCAAAACCAATGCCTGCACAAACTCCTTCCAATCTGCTTGCCTTACCTGTACAAATTTTCTTCCTATCTTGCCTGAAAACCAGCATACTGTCACCAGAAATTCTGTGCATCCTTCCCCATATAAGACCTGTGACTCACTTCAAGGGAGTGCAGACCACTCTACTCTCATCCTCTTCTTCCTTACCTTGTGCACCTTGGATCAGTTTCACAGTTCCTTATGGGGAGGTGTGCTCTTGGCTGAAATTTTGAGACAAAGTTCTTGACCTATTCATCTAAACAACTTAGGAACACACTCAGAAAAATTTCCTAGCTACACACAACTGTCCCTTCATCTTCATAGTCTTGATTTCTTTTGCAATTTCTCCATATTCCTATATGCTACTTTTTCCTGTCATCAACTTCACTTCCCTCCCTCAGTACAACTGTCCATCATAAATTCTTAATAAATGCTGAATCTTAATTCACTTCATTTTCTCTGTGTTTATTTTACTGTGCTAAGAACCCCTGACGCAAGAATCACATGCTTAATGATTTTTTTWAAATTTTTTAATATTTATTTATTTTTTAGTTTCCAGGGGACACAACATCTTTGTTGGTATGTGGTGCTGAGGATCGAACCCGGGCCGCACGCATGCCAGGCRAGCACGCTACCGCTTGAGCCACATCCCCAGCCCGCTTAATGAATTTTTAAATGCAAAATATGCTATCATTGACTTATATTTTGTACCACAGATCCCTAGAAGATGCTCATCTTGCATAATTGAATTGGCATATCTATTGATTGGCAGTTTCCTACTTCCACCCACCCCAGCCTCTGGAATCCATAAATCTATTCTTTTATCATAGTTGATCTATTTTACATACCTCACATAGGTGGAATCCTGCAGTGTTCATCCTTCTGTACTTGGATTAGTTCGTGGAGGAAAGAGGGCTAAGGGTCATCCATGTTAGTACATAAGAGGGGAATTTCCTTCTCTTTTAAATCTAAATAGTATTCCAGGTTTCTGCCATATTYTCTAGATTCATTCCTCTAACCATGGATATTTGTTTTGCTTCCACAGCCTRGCTGTTGTTCCTAGTGCTGACTTGAACATGATAGTGCTGAGATCTCTTCAAGTTTATGATGCCATTCTTTCCCCTATCCACCCAGAGGTGGGGATTGATGGATTGTGTGGTATTTCTATGTCTGATTTTTTTCAGGAAATTTCACACTGGGCCAAGGAATAAATGGGCCAAGGAACTGAGCAGACACTTCTCAGAAGAGGATATACAATCAATCAACAAATATATTAAAAAATGATCAACATCTCTAGCAATCAGAGAAATGCAAATCACAACTCCAAGATTTCATCTCACTTCAGTCAGAATGGCAGGTATTAAGAATACAAACAACAATAATTGTTGGCAAGGATGTGGGGGAAAGGGCACACTCATACATTGTTGGTGGGACTGCAAATTGGTGTAGCCAATATGGAAAGCAGTATGGAGAATCCTTGAAATACTGGGAGTGAAACCACCATTTGACCCAGCTATCCCACTCCTCCGTCTATACCCAAAGGACTTAAAAACAGCATACTACAGGGACACAGCTACATCAATGTTTATAACAGCACAATTCACAATAGCTAAACTATGGAACCAACCTAGATGCCCTTCAGTAGATGAATGGATAAAAAAATGGAATATTATTCAGCATTTGCAGGTAAATGGATGGAGTTGGAGAATATAATGCTAAGTGAAGTTAGCCAATCCAAAAAAAAAAAAAAGAAGCCAAATGTTTTCTCTGATTTAAGGAGGCTAATTCATAATGTGGTTGGGGTGTGAGTCATGGGAGGTTTAAATGAACTCTAGATAGGGCAAAGGAGAGGGAGGGGAAGGGAGGAGGGAATGGGGGTAAGAAAGATGGTGGAATGAGATGGACATCATTACCCTAAGTACATGTATGAACACACAAATGGTGTGACTCTCCTTTGTATACAACCAGAGATATGAAAAATTGTGCTCTATACATGTGATATGAATTGCAATGCATTCTGCTGTCATATATAACACATTAAAATTTTTAAAAACACAACAAAAAAGATACTCACCAAGACACACTATAATTAAAATGTCTAATATACAGACCAAGGATAAAGCAGCAGAACCGCAGTTCACATTTTGAGATAAGCCAATTAGACTTTCCACTCATTTGGCAGCCTAGACTGCAAAATCCAAGAGGGCTTGGAATATTTACCAGGTTCTGAAAGATAATGAGTGGCAACCAAGATAGTTATATCCAGCAAAGCTTATCATTCAGCACTGAAGATAGAAGAAGAAGAAGAARAAGAAACTCTTCCATGATAAACAGAAACTAAAAGAATCCATTACCACTAAACTACTACAGAACATAATAATGACAGATTATATATAGAAGAAATGAAAAAGAAATATCAGAGCCCACAAATGGATGAATCTCACTAGGATAATACTCAGTAAAGGAGAATCAAGACTGAAGTAAACATTAGTAATAAATCATCRTGTCAGGAAATAAAAATCATCTCTCTATAACACCACTGAATAGTCTCATTAAAAAGACATAGACATAAAAAGTCTTCATTAAAAGCACATAGATTGGCACAGTAGATTAAAAAAGAAAAGCCATCCATATGTTCTTTACTAGAGACTCACCTTAAAGATATCCACAAGTTGATGCTGAAAGGATAGAAAAAGATTTAAGTCCAAAAGGAAGAGGAAGTAGCTACTGTCTCAAATCTGACAAAATTAACCTGAAGAGACAAAGAAGCATGATTTGTATTGGTTAAAAGAATTCTTCAACAACAAGATATAATGAATGTAAATATTTATTCCCCAAATATCAATGCACCTATGTATATAAATTAAACCCTACTCAATTTATAGATTCTTTGAGACCATAATACAAGAATACTGGGTGATTTCAATACCCTTCTCTCACCAATAGAACATACAGACATAAACTAAGTAAAGATTCTTCAGAAAAAAAAAATAAAATAAATTATTAATCCAAGGGAGCTAATAGACATCTATAAACTATTTCATCCATTAGCAACCACATTCACTTTCTTCTCAACCACACATGGCACCATCTCTAAAATAGACCACATTTTAGGACAAGAAGTAAGTCTTAGTGAATAAAAGAAATAGAGATTATTCCTTCCATCCTATCAGATCATACTTGAATATAATTAGGAATCAATATCAARGACAAAAAACAGAAACCATTTTAACATATGAAGACTGGAAAATGCGCTTTCAATCAAGCATAAGTCATAGAAGAAATCAGGTTAGAAAGCAAACAATGACTAAAACCAAATGAGAACAGTGATACACATTTCAAAATGATCAGAATAATATTAGGGCAATTCTAAGAGGAAGGTTTATAGCATGGAGGGCCTACATTGAGCCGGGGAGGGGCGGGGGCAGACAGAAAGATCCCAAATAAAAAACCTAATACTATACCTCAAATCCCTAGAAGAAGAAAAACAATGCTAATCCAAAACCAGTAAAAGACAGGATGTAATTAAGATTAGAACTGAAATTAATGAACTTGAGAATTAAATAATCAATATAAAAATCAATGCAGCTAGAAAATGTCTCTTTGAAAAGGTAGAGAAAATTGATAAACCCTTAATTAACCAAGCTAACCAAAAAGAGAGAAGACCCGAATCAACAAAATAGAAATGAGAAAGGAAATATCACCACAGGCATTTCTGAAATCCRGGTTATCATTAGGAACTGTTTTGAAAAATTATACTCCAATAAACTGGAAAATCTAGAAGTTACTGACATGTTTCTATATAGATATGATCTACCCAGAYTGAAGCAACAGGACACAGAAAACCTAAACAGGCCAACATCGAGTACTGARATGGAAGCAGCAATTAAAAGTCTTCCAACAAAGAAAAGCCCAGTACCAGATGGATTCTCAACTGAGTTCTACCAGTCCTTCAAAGAAAAAATAACTTCCTCAAATTTTTCCATGAAATAGAAAGGGAGATAACATTCCCAAATTCATTCTATGAAGCCAGAATCACCCTGATACTCAAACCAGGGGGAAAAAATCAAGAAAACTATAGTCCAGTATCACAGATAAACATAGGTGTAAAACTTATTAATAAAATATTAACAATTTGCATTCAAAAACACATTAAGAAAATTGCTCATCATTATCACCAGGATTTCATCTCAGGGTTGCAAGTTTGGTTCAACATACATAAATTGATAAATGTAATATATCACATAAATAGAATTAAGGACAAAATGACATAATCATCTCAATAGATGCAGAAAAATTCTTTGATATATCCAGCACCCACGCATATTAAAAATACTGAAGAAACTAATGATAGAAGAAACTTTCTTTGTTATCGCACAGGTTATATAGATTAAACCAATTCTAACATCATAAAGAATGGAGAACAGCCTGAAAGCAYTTCCTCTAAATTCGGAAATAAGGCAAGGATATCCACTCTCACCACTCCTGTTTAATACAATTCTTCACACTCTAGCCCCTATTCCTGCTATCCCACTCCTTGGTATTTATCCAGAAGAACTAACATCAACATGTAAGGGTCCGGCGGAGCGTCGGAGAAAGAGACCACACAAGAGACTGGCTCCATGCAATTGACAATAGAGGATTTATTGGGGATCCATTCCAGCGTGCTGGGGCCCCGTGCTCACTCAAGAAGGGAGAGCAGCCCGGAGCCCAGAGCAGAGGTCAAGCAGAGCTTAAGTACACTTTTGGGGGAGGGCGGGGGGCTTTRCATACATCAGAACAAATCATCATGAGGCGCGGGAAAATTGAACAACTCCTCTGAGACGTGAYTGGCTCATTCATTGGCGGGAACAGGTCGGGCGGGGGTGATTGGTCACTCCTAAGCGGGATACACATTCAAACTGATTGGTTCGGGCCCTGTGACAAACTGCACAGGGCCCTAGGCTAAATGGCCAGTAGGGCATTGTCTTAACTATCTCAGGAATCTGGGTGTAACAGAGGAACTTAATAATACCTAATCTTTTACATTTTAATTCAAGCTTTCCAGCTTAGAAACTTTACCCTTTCAAACATATATACTGATACATGCCTATCAATATGTAGAGCAGTGAAACTCACAATTGCCAAGCTATACAACCATCCCAGATGCCCATCAACAGTCAAACAGATACAGAAAATGTCATAAATGTATGTACCATGGAATATTGTGCAGCTGTAATAAAGAAAAATRATGCCATTTTCTGGTAAATGGATGCAAATGGGAAAAGCATTTGCATCCAGAAAGTCAAAGGTTGAATGTTTTATCTCACATGTGAAAGTGAGAGAGAAATAAGGAATTTTATCAAATGGGGGGGGGATCCTATGGAAATAGAAAAGAAGATCAGTGGAGTAGAGGAAGGGTATGGAGGAAGATGGAGGAGGAGTGGAAAAGGGGAAGGACGGGGGAATGAAGTTGACCAAAATATGCGATGCACATGAATTAAAATACCAAGAGAAAATTCTACTTTATGTATGTAAATAGAACACCCGTCAAAAAAACAGTAATTAAATAGAAGGAAAACAAGTAGAGGAGAGAAAGAGAGTAAGAGATGAAAAGTGGAAGTGGTGGGGACTGAAATGGAGCAAATTACATTACATGCGTGTATGAATATGTTGAACTGAACCCCACAATTATGAATAACTATCATGCACTAATGAAAGCATTCAAAACAGAAACAGATTAAACACTTAAATTCAAAACACATCATATTTTGAAAACAACTTCTTCCTTGACAAATATATACCAATGTAGAAAATAATATAAACAAAGACAAGGAAAAGGGCTACTGATTGGTCCAAACTTTGGAGACCAGATGGATAAAAGAGCCCAATTAGAAGGACTCATCATATTGTGCAAACTCACTCACCTGTGAACAGAATCCCACCTTCCACAGCTAACACCATGGCCCACTCCTCTTGCTCCCCTTGCTGCAAGCCTACTTGCTGCAGGACCACCTGTTACAAGACCACCTGCTGGAAGCCAGCCTGCTGTCCACCCAGCTGCTGTGGGTCCAGCTGCAGTGGCAAAACCACCTGTGGGTCCAGCTGCTGCTGGTTATGCTGTCCCTCAACTTGCTGTGAAACCACTTGCTGCAAGACCAGCTGCTGCAAACCAACCTGTGTGGTCAGCTGCTGCAGCACACCCCGCTATAAGCCCAGCTGCTGTGAGCCTTGCTGCTGCCCCAGTTGCTGCATCATTCCCTGCTGCCAGCCCTGGTGCCCTCCTACTTGCTCTAGAACCACCTGCTGCAGGACGACCTGCTCCAAAAAGTCCCATGTGACCCACTGCTGCAGCACACCCTGCTGCTCTCCAACTTGCTGTGAAACCACCTGCTGCAAGACCACCTGCTGCAAACCAGCCTGTGTCATCAGCTGCTGCAGCACACCCTGCTGTCCACCCAGCTGCTGTGGGTCCAGCTGCTGCCAGCCCTGTTGTCCCCCAACTTGTTCTGAAACCACCTGCTGCAGGACCTCCTGCTGCAAACCAACCTGTGTGGTTAGCTACTGCAGCACACCCTGCTGTGAGCCCAGCTGCTGTGAGCCTTGCTGCTGCCTCAGTTGCTGTATCATCCCCTGCTGCCAGCCCTGCTGCCCTCCAGCTTGCTCTAGAACCACATACTGTAGGACCTGCTCCAAGCAAACCTGTGTGACCCACTGCTGCAGCACACCCTGCTGCAAGCCCTGTTGCTGTGTGTCCAATTGCTGCTAGCTTTGCTGCTCGTGATCACTCCTCAAAGAACTGATGTCTGCACAAAACCCTAACATGTGCCTTCGCTTACTGCACAGTTCTCTTCCTACCTTTGTGAAGACCATCATGCTGCCACTAGATACTCTATGCATCATCCCCCACATAAGACCCTGTGAATCACCTACAAGGAGTGCAGACTACCCCACTCTCATCCTCTTCTTCCTTAGGTTTCATGCATCTTGTGCCATCTTCAGAGATTYTAGATGGGGAGGGATGGTCTTGCCTGAAATTCTCAGACTAAGATCTTTACCTTCTGTCTAATGAAGGTAGGACCACACTTCTTCAGAAGAATTTCATAGCTATATGCAAATGCTCCTTCATCTTTACAGTCATGATTACTTTTGCATTGTCCTCCAGATTCTTACCTGCCATTTTTCCCTGTCACTGTCACCTTCATTTCCCTCCCTATGTTCAGCCATCCTTCATAAATGCTTAATAAATTCTGGACTTTAATTCATTCCATATTGTCTGTCTGTATTTTCCTGGGCTAAGAACCCCTGACTTGAAGATCACATGCTTAATAGGTTTTTAGGTGCAAATACATTGTCATGGTATCCCCCTCTGTACTACAAACTCTTAGAAGTTCTTCATCTTAAATAATTAAAATGGCATACAAAAGCCAGGTGTGGTGGTACACATAAGTAATCCCAGTGACTCAGGAGGCTGAGGCAGGTGGATTGCAAGTTCAAGGCYAGCCTCAACAAGTTAGCAAGACCTTAAGCAACTTAGTAAGATGCTATATCCAAATAAAAAAATAAAAATGACTGAAGATGTGGCTCAGTGATAAAACACCCCTAGGTCAATATCAATATCAAAAACTAAAAAAAAATAATAATAAAAGGCATATACCTATTGATTTTCAACTCCTTACTTCCACCTACCTCCAGGCTTTGGAAACCACCACTCTGTCCTTTCTTTGTCTGAGTTCCACTGTTTGAAATGCCTCATATACATGAAATCATTTACTGTTGTTCCTTTTGTGACTTGTTTAGTTAATTTAGGAGAAAGGATTATGGTTCAATGATGTAGGTACAGGAGACAGAATTTCCTTCTCTGAATACTATTCCATTGTAGGTTTTCTGGCAAATTCCCATGAAGCATTCATCCAACACACATTGGATTTCTTCCACAGCATAGCTGTTGTTCATAGTACTGCCATAAATGTAAGAATGCTTGAAGATAGTTCTTCAAGAGTCTGATTTAATTCTTTTACCTAAAYACTGGAGAAGGAGTTGGTGAATAGAATAATATTTCTATGTTTAATTTTAGGAAACTCCATACTGATTTCCACAAGTCCAACAACATTAGACATTCCCTCCAGTGTAGCAGGATTCCAATTTCTCCACATACTTGTTAATATACTTACTGTACTGGGAATGTTCTAGAATAGCCAGATACACTACTCCATCTGTCCAATGATTGCAATGGGAGAATGATGACATTGCTGACCAGCATCTCATGCAAACAGGCAATATATTTGGTCTTGGCTAAAGAACTGGAAAATCAAAGAACAATGTCTCTCCCCAGTTCCATGTTCAGCTGGACAGGGTCAACATTTCCAGTTCTCCCCTGCCCAGGCTTCTGAACTTCCAGGCACACCACAACACTACCTTTAAAAAAATACAAATTTGTTTTCATTAAATCCTCAGCCAGGCTACAAGAAATGCTGCTAGTCTTGAGGCCAATTTTTCTCTTTGAGGTGCCTTTGCAATAAATGAACTCTACTCCTATTAATGTCACCTTGAAAATTCCACATCCCATCTGGAATGTGGAAGCTGAGTGATCAAGTGGGATGTCTTCAGTCGGTTTGTACAAACTTTCATTGGGTTCCTCCCTGACATAACATTTAGAGCCCATTAGGATGTAATTGGAGCTCATAATTATATTTATTGATATGTTGGTCTTTCTRCTTCAATACCTTTGAGCTTCTAAATTCACAACTGTGTTCAAAGAGTCAAAAGGGTTCTCATGTTTCATGTGTTATTTTCTCAGGTGTTAATCTGATGCCACCAGCTTCTTGACTGTTTCCCAATGACACTTTCCCCCAGATTTTCAGGAGGTTGCATTGATGCTTGCATATCCTGCAAATAAGTTTTATCATTTGAGTTGAAGACTAAAGGCTCTGTTTCATTTGAATTCATCAGAAAAAAATATAATATTGGTGTAGAAATGAGTAATATCAATTTTTAATATATTGGACTGGACATTGTTCACATGTTTCCAGCTACATAATGAAACTCAACAACTATTGTACAAGGGTCTCCTTAGAATTCTTCCCCATGTTGTACGTTTCAGAAAGGAATCCTTGGGATTTCCCAGGGTACTAACTAAAAAAGAATACTGCAACACCGTAAGAGCACTGCTGGTGTATGTTGAGGGCAGGAGAGTGCTTTTGAAAGTCCAGGACATGGAGCCATGTCAAGAGAAACTGGGTCACAAGAGGATGGAAAATCTCAGCTTTTTTGGAGMTGACTTGATTAGAGAAGGGGAAGGAAATACACTGAGAACAGAAAGATAAAGTTTTAAAATGCAAAGCAGAATATATTCTGATAAGGGTAGAATTGAGTCAAGACCAGTCCCACGTGGGTCTGGCCATGACAACTTTGGACCATTTTTGAAAATGCAAGGGTAGGTGTAGCACCCTTGCATTTCCAAAAATGTAATGTCACATAACTGGAAAAGAGAGAATAATCATAATATTGCTTCACCTGATAAAGAAAAAGCATTCCRTAAATATCATCACATTTTCAATACCCAACACCTTAATAAATGAGGGATGAAAGATTCTCCACACTGCTGCTGATACAGTTCCAACTTACCCACCAGGCAGGGGGCACCATCCCTGAAACACAAGCTTTCCGAAGAGAAAGTTACTGTTCACCAGCCGTTAAGCCCATAATGTGGAAGCAAGCCTTAAATCTATCTCCAGACTGGAGGGATACCACCTTAGATGTCAGACAAGTCACTTAAGGGATTTATTGGGAGCTGCCACACAGGAATGAACACGGACCCTTCGCCTTGAGCAACAGAGGTGTGTGGGACTGGCTTTGGCTCACAGCAGAGAGCAGGTAGATCCCACCTCTGCTAGGCAGARGAATGATGCTCTGGGAGTGGGCGTCACCCCAATGMGACTGGGCTACACCCCCCTGAAACCCAATCCCTTGCCTCATTTGGGTTGAACTTTCTGGAATGTCTTTTTCCCCCAATAAATAGAGGACTTTCCGGTGGCTCACTCTCTCTTTCCAACGTACCCTTAAGGTGGAGAGCCATCCCTGATCCCTGCAAGCAAAAGGTATTTCTGTGTGTTGCGTGCTTCTTTAACTGTTTTCTTAGTTATTGCGGTAGCCAGATTTTGTGAACCCAGCATAGGTCATCAGCCGGGTTAGTTGGCGATAAGGATTGTTAATGTCATTAGAAGCAGGTCACTAGAACGATGTGCATCTGGATAACTAGAGAAGGTATATTCAAACTCATGCAAATTTCATTACTCTCATGAAGAGAACCTATAGAAAGGATGAGGAGGATCAGGGATAATGGGGAAAGAAGATAAGAAAGAAATGGACAGAAAGAAAAGAGGGGAGACAGAAAACAAAATGCAGACAGAAGGGAAGAAGGAAAGACAGAGAAAGTTCCCTGACCAAGATCATTGTCTGTGCTGGTTACCCAGGTTAGGACTAGACTCATCTGCTCATCTCGGTTTGCCTGAGTCTGCAAGACTATACCTGTGGCAGAAAGTCCCACAGGCTCATCATGATGAGCCCTCAGGACTTGATAAAACAGGACATATGGCCACCCAGAGATCCATCCATATCTGGCTCGTTCCTGAGTACTGCTTCTGCTTCTGCCCTCACTCTCTGGTTCTGCTCTGCTGTGGAAGACCACATGGCAAACATCCTCTTACAATGTGCCTTGAGTAAACCTGAAACACCCGGGTAGAAGCCTTGGTACACAGACAGATGTGTTTACTACTCCTGACTCAGGATCCTCTGGGTAAACACGGGCTTTTCTTCCCTGTGAACACAACAGCATCATGCTCCTCTGATAGATGTTCCCTAATCTGAATACAGACACAGGAACAAAGCTCCAGAGGACCAACTGCCCTGACCCTCCCAGGGCATCAGTAGCCACCACATGATCAGAATGATGATCAGAGCAGCAAGGATACTAATGAGGTGACTGTCTCTCTTTCATCTGGAAATAGTTCCTGTGAGTTATGCCCTCTTAAGAAACAGATTAAACACTTACATTCACAACACTCATCACATTTGCATAACAAATTCTTCCTAGGCAAACACAAACTGAATATGGAAAATAACATGAACCACAAGAAGGCAAAGGACTGCTGATTGGTGCAAACGTTGGAAGCCCCAAGGATAAAAAGAGCCCAACTGTAAGGAGTCCTCATATTGCACAAACTCACTCACCTGTGAACAGGATCCCACCCTCCACAGCTCACACTATGGCCCGCTCCTGCTGCTCCTCTTGCTCCAAGCCTACCTGCTGCAAGACCATCGGCTGGAAACCAGCCTCTGGGACCAGCTGTGGCAGCACATCCTGCCGTCCACCTAGAAGCTGTGGGTCCAGCTCTTGTGGGAAAACCAGCAGTGGGTCCAGCTGCTGCCAGCCACGCTGTCCCCCAACTTGCTGTGAAACCACCTGCTGTAAGCCAGCCTCTGTGGTCAGCTGCTGCAGCACACCCTGCTGTGAGCCCAGCTGCTGTGAACCTTGCTGCTGCATCATTCCCTGCTGCCAGCCCTGCTGCTGTGTGTTCACCTGCTGCCAGCCAGGCTGCTGCCAGCCCTGCTGCCCTCCTACTTGTTCTCAAACCACCTGCTGTAAGACCACCTGCTCAAAAAAAACCCATGTGACCCGCTGCTGCTGCAAACCCTGCTGCCAGCACTGCTTCTGTGTGTGCAGCTGCTGCAAACCTTGCTGCTTGTGATCAACTCCCTAAAGACCAGCATCTATCTGCACAAACTCCTCTCAACCTATTTGCCTTACCTACATCAATTCTCTTCCTACCTGGGCTGAAGATCATCAAGATGTCACCAGATATTCTGTTTATTGTCCCCCATGTAAAAACTTGTGAATCACCTCCAGGGAGTAGAGACCACTCCACACCTGTCTTCTTCTTCCTTCATCTTGTGCCTGCTGCATAGGTCCTTGTTGGCGAGGTGTGATCTTGGCTGAAATTCTGAAGCCAATATCTTTACCTCTCCATCTAAAGCACACAGGAACGGGCTTCAGAATTTCATAGGTGTATGCAAATGCTTCTTTATCTTTGGAGTCACGATTTCTTTTGCCTTGTCTTCCATACTTCTATATGCTGGTTTCTCCTGTCATAGTCACCTTCAGTTGCCCCCCTAGGTACAACCAAATTCTGTGAATTTTTAATAAAAACTGGACCTTTATTCATTCCATGTTGTTTCTTTTATTTGCCTGTGCTAAGAAACCCTGAAGTGAAATAGATGCTTAATAGATTTTTAAATGCACTCTATACCACAGATCCTAGAAGTTGTTCATCTTCCATAATTGAAATGACATACAAATTGAAATGCAAGTCCCTACTCCCTTTTACCCCAGCCTCTGCAATCCACCACTTCATTCTTTCCTATCTGAGTTAACCTATTTTATGTACTGCATATGGGTAGGACCCTCAGTGTTTGTCTTTCTGCACTAAGGTTTTGAGAAAGGCCTAAGTTTCTCCCATGTAAGCACACAGGGGAGGATTTCCTTCCCTTTTAATCTTGGACAGTATTCCATTGTAGATTGCCACCACATTCTCTAGATCCATTCCTTTATCAATGGATATTTATGTTGCTTCCACAGCTGGACTGTTTGTCCTAGTCCTTCCTTGAACATGAAAGTGCTCTTCATGTTTCTGATCCCATTATTTCCTCTAAACTCCCCATGATGCTGGATCATATGGTATTTCCACGTCTGATTTTGTGGAGAAACTTCATTACTGATTTCCATGGCTCATGTAACCCTTGACATTCCCTCCAGGGAAGCAGTGTTCCAATTTCTCTCCATCCTTGACAAACCCTTCATTTACTCGGTACTTTCCAGAATAGCCAGACACAATAATCTAATACTGCAATGATCATGATGCTAGAATGATATGCCATTGTTTACTGACATCTCATCCAATCAGTACGAAAGGCTTGGTCTTGCCTAAGGAACTGGAATATTTAGGAAAATGTCCCTCCCCTGTTCTCATATTCAGATGGGCACTGCCAACATCCAAACTTCTATGGTGGACTACTGTCAGGAGCCATCTGTGGGCTGTGTGTGGACTATGTTGTGCATAAGTAGTCTCCTGAGGGGATAAGTCTGGCACTGGGGATTCCCTGGGACACTCCCCACAAGGATTGACGGCTTGGTGCAGGTAAACTTCCCCTCAAGCTTTGCCTCAGATCCCACATAGCACCTGAGATGGGTGAGAACCTGCCAAAATGTCAATCAACCTGCAGACTGTAAGATATCACAAAGCAAGACTCTGCCCTTAAACCTTACCCCTGCCTTTGATGTACCCCCTTAAATAAACCACGGGAGCCATTTTGTCTTTGTCTAGTTCAAGAACCCATGAGGACTAGATCTATCAGGGGCTTTGTTATATAAATATATTTCTGAGTGTTTGTGTTTTATTATTTGTTAATTATTTGAGATATTAAGATTTAGGGCAGCTTACTGCACAATCCAAAGCTCCTTCATTCTTTCCTAATGTCCCCCACTATGGATCAGTATCTGCTTATCAGAGAAAACATTCAGCCTTTGAGTTTTGGGGATTGGCATATTTCACTTAGCATGATATTATCTAGTTCCATCCATTTACATGCAAATGCCATAATTTCTTTCGTCTTTAAGTCTGAGTCATATTCCATTATGTGTGTAAAGGTAAAATTTCTAAACTGATTCTAAGCTGCAAACGTCTGAGTTAAAGTGCAAAAGACCGGGCATTGTAAGGTTTCTAAATTACAAGGCTTGGGCTAAAAAATATAGACCAGGTATTGTTAAAATTCCTCTGCTACCCCCAGAACCTGTAATCTCTGTAGCTGTTAGGACAATACCTAAACTGCCCAGTAAATATTTCCATTGATTCCCTGGTTGTTTATTAGCTAAGGGCTCCAAGTAGCTCGGCACGTAAGCATCCAGGTCACAAAACCAATCAGTTTAAATGTGTACCCCGCTTAGGAGTGACCAATCACCCCCTGCCCAGACTGTTCCCGCCAATGAATGTACTAATCATGGCTCAGAGTTGTTGTTCAATTTTCCCGTGCCTCAAGATGATTTGTTCTGATGTATGCAAAGCCCCCCCACCCTCTCCAAAAAGTGTACTTAAGCTCTGCTTGACCTCTGCTCTGGGCTCTGGGCTGCTCTCCTTTCTCGAGTGGGCTCGGAGCCCTAGCATGCGGTTCAATAAATCCCCTTTTGCCAATTGCATGGAGCTAGTCTCTTGTGGTCTCTTCGTCTGACGTTTCGCCGGTCTCTTACATTTGGTGCATTGACTGGGAACTTCGCATCGCCGGATAGGGAGACCCCAACGGACTGCTTCGGGGGTAAGTAGTAAGGCGCCTTCCTTCCTTTCTCTCTCTCTCTCTCTTTCTCTCCCTTTCTCCTCCTTCTTCTCTTGTCTTTTTTTGCGATCGCTCAGGGCTTGGTTTTGGGCTCAGTGGAGAATGTGAGCTCTCGGAGCCTCTCCAGGTGTTTGGTTTTTGGCTCAATGGTGGGCGTGAGCTCCCAGAGGGTGTGAGCTCTCAGAGCCTTTCTGGTTTTGGGTTGGGTTGGTAGCATGTGGCTTCCAGTGGAAAACGTGAGTTTTCCCTGGCTGTGGCTGGCTGTGGCGGACAGACGTGTCTTTGGAGTCACACGTTCCCCAGAGGGACGCCCTGGGGAACTCGGGGAGGGACAAAGGTCCCTCGTCTGGGGGGGCGAAAACGCCCCCGTCGGTGCTGCCAACCCGTCTGGTTTTGCCGGCAATTCTTTTTGTTTTTCTCAGGTTGAATTTACTGTCTGTCTTTAATTTTTGCTTCTGAACTTGTGTTAAACGTTTACTGTGTGTCCGTGTGTGTGTCATGTTTGTATTGTCTCTGTTTGAGTAACTCCCAGTATGGGACAAAGCCATTCCACGCCTCTGTCCCTAACTCTTGAACATTGGACTGACGTCCATTCCAGGGCCCAGAATCTTTCTTTTTCAGTGAAACGCCGGACCTGGCAAATACTCTGCACCTCAGAATGGCCCGCCCTTGGAGCTGAATGGCCCCAAGGAGGGTCCTTCCACCTCCCTCTAATCCACAAAGTCAGAGATATTGTCTTTCAGCCGGAGCCCCATGGCCATCCAGATCAACAGCCATATATTTTAACCTGGCAGGACTTCTGCGATTTAACCCTGTGGTATGGTGGATCTGTCCCGACCCCGTTCCTCCCGGCCCCTCCACCCATCTGTCCTCTCCTCCCCTGCCGTCTCCCCTCCCCGGAGGGAGGGGGTGCTCCGGCAGGTGCAAGGGACGGGCAGGCGGGTCCCAAACCGCCCCCCCCCCAGTGTTACAGCCCTCCCCTGCCGCAGATCACCAAATCCCTGGCCGAAGAAGCGAAC